GGTCTAGGTAGTGTTCAATTGTTAACTCACCGTTCTAAATAGCAAATTACATCAGTAATACTTTAATACGTAATTTTAGTAGTCTTAATAGCAGAAGCAAAGAAAAGTGCAATAAAGTAATTTCAAACCACTGGGGCTCCGTAAAGACATAGATTTTATCTAGCGTCAATTAGTTAGTTTTCTAATCTCTTTAGGATTGACTGGCTTTTTATTTTTGCCCCACCCTCTTCCCAGCTGTCTTCTACAAGCATCTAAACGATTTTTTACATTTTCTGAATTATTTGGTCCCCTAATGGGAGAAATGAAATATAATATTAAAGAAGAGTAAAAGCAGGTTCTAAATGAAAATTTGCGTGTAAGAATTTGGAGCTGTTTTCTAGAAAATTGCTTTTGAACGTTTCTGAAAGTGCGTAATTTTGAACTCATTTTCGTAGAAAACCTTTGAGTTTTTGAGGAACGTCCTCAGAAATAATTTAAAGCACGTATACTTAAAAATACAATAATGTATTAAAACTCCCGTATTGTATATATTAACGCCATGAGAGATATTTCAAAAACATAAATATGTATAATTTTTGAAAAATCAAATAAATACATAAGAATTATATGATGGCCTGTCATTCCTTTCTTCGTAAGAAGTGGAAGTATTGTTATCTACTACCACTACCATTACCACTGCTACTACTGCTACTATTATCATTATTATTATTATTATTATTATTATTATTATTGTTGTTGTTGTTGTTGTTGTTGTATTATGGAAGACTCGATCGAAATAGTCAAGCAACGCCAAGAAACCAGGTCCATCAGCAATATTAAAGCTTCCCAAAGCCAAAAAGATTCAACAAACTTGTGAAATTTTCATCTCTCCCACCCACTCATGCAGCAGCTCGGGTTTTTTATCAGGTGCTTGGTCGGGAAAGAATTTACATCAAAAATTTGGATGATTTTACAAGAACAATGTCTCAGAGACAACACCAAAAACAGTACCTTACTAAATGTTTAATTCAATCTTCTGAAATTCTAAGAAAGATACGCATAGAATGAGGATAGAATGTGCTGTATGTCAAGCTGCAGATGCAAAAAAGTAGGATTACAATGTTCCGTATTTTTTGGTATTTGTCATGGACAATCAAGCCTCAACGTGTCTGATCTAAACCAGATATTTTTTCTGAGTAACGTGAGATTTACCTTATCGCACTTGAATCTTATTATAAGTGCTGTACTTCATCTTCTGGGTCAATGACGTCCATTTCAGTCATGATTTTCGTTCAATTCCCCTGATTCGCTGAGCAAATGCTGAGGTGACCTCTTTTTATGCTTCTGGACATAAATGTACTTATTCTACTCTCACGATTTGTTGACCTCTCGTTTTGCTAGTTGTGGAAGGAGTAGAGTGGAGGAAATCTAGTTCATTTACTGATGCAAAAAAGTTTTCTAAAACTCAGATGAGAAAATGTCTTGTTTTCACATAATTATGTACAAAATAATATTCACTTTCTTGGTATCAAGGGCTCACAATTCGTGAATCTCACTCAGCAACGTGTTAAGGGAAGTAATTTACTACATATTGGAACAACATTTACCCTTTGTTTCTGTATCAGGACTCCATAGAACGAGATTATCTGTCAGAAAAGTGCAGTTTTTTTCCGCAGTATTACATAATTTTCTCTAGATTACGTCAATAACTCCATATAAACGTACGTACATGAGAAAATAAAAATGATACAAAGTTATAAATTTTTAAGAAACAGCATCAATTGAAAATAAATATTTTTAAATAAGCAATTATTTTGCCCAATTTTATATTATTAATAATATGTATTGATTGAATAAATGTTATAAAGTGTGTCATATGTTTAGATACTCTACGCAAAAGCTTCTATCCTATGCATGAACTCGTCACTCCTCCACGTCACATGGTCGTGTGGATATTTCGTATGAAAAACAATGAATGGTCAATTTTATAGAAACTTTTATTTCCTACAAGTTTAACGAAAATCCCATTCGACGTACAACACACAGAAAGTGCCATACTTACGAAAAACATTTCTTTTTGTATTTCCGTAACCTTTCATATCCCTAAACTCGCATATCGTAAAAAAAACGTTTATAATCGGTTTTGTAGAATTTTTAATATCTTCAAATCTTATCAGTAAGTTAGTCAACGAAAATGTGTATAAAGAGGAATATTAGAGGTCATCTTTGACCACTAATATTTTGGAACACACACACGGGATAATATCACTTCGAACTTTTCTCCCCTTTTATACATGCCCTAACCTTTGTGCAAAACTTATTAACTGTTTTTGCCAATTTTTGAAATCATCTCAATTGTTAAATTGAAATAAAAAAAAGTTCTCAAATTGTCAAAAAGAAAGTGTTCCAACCATTGGGTGAATGGGCAGAGGAACGAGGAGTACGGCAAGATATTCGAGTAGAATTCCCAATCAGGAAGACTAATACTTCAAATTTTAAAGTAATTTGATTTTTTTTAATATGACGCACTCGGGACCTGATAATGGTAAGCCACCTGAAGGTACTGTTAGCCCCACAGGATAGGTAAATGAAAGTGTAAAGAATTCTGTAAATCCAGCGAACAACACGACAAGCAGCCGGTCCGGATGGCCGAGATCGCGAGTTCGAGTCCCGCCTCGGGCATGATTGTATTGTATTCGTCCTTTCACACCCCTATCATCATATCGTCTCATCCTCATAGTTATCATACCATTATACGCAGTAGTAGTCGCTAATGACCTAGTAGTTGATGCGACCTTAAAATAACAACGAAAAAACATAAAAGCGCATTTATTGCATTATACTGTAAAATTCTGTAGATATATATGCTACATATGTATTACTGTATTGTATTTCTCTAATTTGTCAACTTTTTTGTCAGCCTCCACGAGAAACGACAAAGTTAAATATATCACTTATACTTGATGATTGGCTTAGCATCTTCTAATCCCAAACGTGTCTTATTCCTAATAGAAATACTTCTTTGGATGCGACGCGATCAGTTTGCGGTAATTTTTCTCAAGAAATTGAGTTGAGCGAACACGAATCTCCAAATACATGTGCGAATTGTAATGTTTTGTGTTTTAAAGATCTACCGTCTTATAACATTTTTAAAACATAATTAAAAAGTAAATTTTTAAATTACTTTTTTACTAATATGATTACTGATTTTCGTAACAAAAATTGAAGCGAAATTAGCGAGATACTCCGGATTCTTTTTCGCGAAATTGAAGAAAAAATATCGAAAAAAGGCAGAAAGAAACGTCTCTAGCCACTGGATCCGAATGTGTCTTCATCGTGGGAACCCATTCTGAGCGGTGCGGCGCGGCGCGGCAACAACGCCAGCGTCGCGACGCTGCGCCGCCGCCGTCAGCGCGCAGGTATTCCAGGCATCCTGCTGCTTCTATCGGCCGCCGCTGCGTCGCTTGGCGGATTCGCGCGGCCCGGAGGGCAAGGCAGGGCGTCGAACCGGGCCACGGGCACCTCTCCGCCCGCGCCTCCACGTCACGGGGCGGGCGCCGACGTCGGGTTTGGCCACGTCATTTTCTTGCTTTCTTTCCTTCTTTCTTTCTTTCTTTCTTTCTT